AATTGAACCTCACAAATTAACTATGGCACCAAAGAGAGGGCGATGTGATGCGGATATCCGTGATTGTCAATCCCCTCTGATGGCGCTTCCCGACGAACTATTGGAGAAGGTTCTCGCATACAGTTGCAACTCCGTCCAAAAAATTTTCACACTGAAGCAAGTTTGCAAACGGTTCCAGGCCTGCACTTTAACCCAAAATTTTCTGGCATCGGTTGATCCCGTGGAATTAGAGATGCCTATTCCCGAAGATTTCGATATGCCTTTTATCGCGTTTTGGGAATTTCCCAACTTGTTGAGGAGGATGTATGACGCACGCAATCCTGGTTTGCTGTTCATGAAGGGGATGCAAGACTACTTCTGCTGCCGTGGAGACAAAGGTGGCATAAAACTCATCAAGGAATCGGCAGATATGGGATACGAAACAGGTATTTACATGTATGGCATGTACATGAAAGCAGTGGTCGAAGACCCCGTGGGTTTAGAGTATCTTTCAAAACTAAGCAGGGGGGCAATGAGGAGAATAATTCGGAAAATTATTGATGGAGGTGAGCGTGGTTATGTTAATTTGCATGATGAGTTTTCGAGGAGGAGATTTGAGACTAATGCTCAGTTTTCCACACTTTGGTCTTGTCGATGTGGTGTTGCCAATGCTCAACTTGATTGGCATGACGAATTGTTAAAGGGGCCAAGCATGTGCACGTCGTGTTTCTGGGCACAGGAAACGCAAAAGTTCTTCGTATTTGTTTGGTATGCAGCGCGTTCTGGGCCGTCAATGGAAGAATGGTGACTGATTGGTGAAAGACAACCAGTTTCGGTGTGTACACCTGCATTGTGTACACCTTGGTGTGTACACCTTGGTGTGTAATCGATTAGATTCCATATTTCGTACTTTATGATTTAATCTTTTATTTAGGCCTGTATGTATGTAGGTGTACTTTGTTTTGCTTTCTATCTATGTATACTTTAATTGTGTTGACAATATTTAATTTCGGTGGGTGGTAGTTTCAGTTTTTCGAGAACCATTCTGTTATATCTTTAAAGTCTCAGTTTACCTCTCTTTGTACGTCTAATAACTACAAAAAAAGAACACCTCAATCTGGACTCAATATGTACACCTAAATTTGTACACCTGAATGTTACATTTATCACATATTATATATTTGTGTATACAAACGACATTATCTCTTTTGTGGGTATTTTCGGAGAATATGGATATACAAACGACATTATTTATTAAAAGTCTTACCTTACCTATTTCTGTACGCATATTTTAAAAAATATGCATGATTTCGTCTATGTGGACAATCTGTACTCTATATCTCGGTTTACGTGATGTTGAGAAAACGTCTGTAATGATGACAAGAAATTTAGTTTCCAACAAATAAATAAAGGGCTGGGTTGTCAATGAAATTTCGATATTATCATAAATACTAATAGTATTGTCTCAGATATCATAAATGTATTGTGGTATATCAAAAATTAAATTAAATCATTCGTCAAAAAAGTTTAATGGTGAAATTTGCTTTTATTTGGTAATTCTCTGTATTTATTGTGGTAATTTAATTTTGCCGGTAAACGAAAAGACACATTTTCGTCTCTTTTCAACGTCTCTCTTCAAAGACATCTATTCGGCTCTATTAAAACTGCACTACTACCTCTTTAAATTCAATCCCTTCACCATAACTGCCTACTTAGCACCATAATATTATATTCGGAGAGAACAATCGCAGGTAGCTGACTCGCACATGACCCAACTATTGCATTCTCATACTTAGACTTCAGCAGAGCCGCCATGACTTTAGAAGTAGCATGTTTAGAAAATTTCTTTCTTGTATCCGGGTGGCATGTATGCTTCAAACACGCCTTCCTCACCTCATACAACGCCGAGTCGCCAACTTGACCCCCCAACACTCTCCAATCACAAATCTTTGATGGACATTCGGCGACTGTGTACTTCTTCGCATGCTTTTTGAAATTGAACGTCACTATATTCTTCAGCGCATTGATGGCCAACGTGATTTTAAAGTGTTCCTTGTTCCTGAACTTTTTTCCAACCCATATCTCTCCATCTTCATTTGACAAATCAAGTTCATCGAAATCCCCTGCCATTTCATCAGAGACTGGTGCCACATCCGGAAATCCATATAGTTCTGTACGTTTAATCGCTTTCTTCAGCTCTGCACCGCCATTCTGACGCCCCCAACTGACATCACCTGTCGGAGTCTGCACAAAATCATCATCATCTCTATGGGGAACCAGAACATTCTCACATACAGTCCTCTTTCTTCCAGGAAAATGAATAGGACTCTCCGTTAAGACAATAGAGTTGTCCATATGGTTTGAATCACTCGGCTCACTTCCGCGAGTACTACCACAACCCCCTGAACTACCACAGTCATACTTATCCTCATCAACTCCAGGTTTAGAATGGAAACCCTTACCATCTGCTAGTACGTAATCATTCCACCAGTCAAAATCATAATCCGGATCATCATCATCATCAGGTCCGTATTGTGCATCGTCAACATCATCAGCTTCCTTCTCTTCCGAATCTCTCGCCTCATCTGATTCCTAGGACATTTTTATTTCCAACTCAGGGTGATCAACAGAGAGAGCGTGACTTGGAACATCCGGTTTGACATTAACGGGGCTGTTAGTGCTGGCCTTAGCCTCTACTTTCTCTGATTCCTGGGACATTTTTAATCCCATTGGAGGATGGATTACAGAGACAGCTTCAGGTTGTACACCTTTGGAGGTGTTCATTGCGGCCTCTGCCTCTACTTTCTCGGCATGTGCTATCAGCAAACAATCATCGATATCTTCATCATCTGCTTCTTCATCATCGGGTTGTCTTGACTCAGCCAAAGAAGAGGCAATGAAATTTGTTGGCCCTAAGGACTTTCGCCGTTCCCTCGCAATTTGAACTTCAAGACTGTCCTTCCGTTTCAATCTCACCATTTCACCATTTACTGACTCCTTGAATGTGACAAATAAATTCACAGACTTGTCAGACTTATGCAGCGAAAGGAAGAATTTGTACTCTCGAGGAGTAACTATTACACATGGACAACTCCCATCACCATTAAGCTCAGCTAGAACATCATCAAACCAGTAGGAAATCTCCACCGAAACAGCTCTCGTGTCTAATCCGAACTCATGCGCAATCAGATTTCTCAAATCATCTGGTCCGGACACATCTTTGCAATTTATGCACCTTCCACGCCGAGATATGTCCATTTTGAAATCCCATTCTCCTGTATATTACCTTATCCACGTTCCCGCCATAACAAGAATGAACGCATCCACTGCAATTCGCGAACACCATATCTATAAAACTACTAGAAAATCGCGAACACCAGACCCAAAAAATTCGAAAATAACAATGACAAATCTATGGGTGTACAATCATAGGATTAAGTAACTAACCGTGGTTGTTGTCCTCTTGATCTTCGCATAATTTCCCCTTCAATTTCAACATCTTTTGGAAAGGGAAACTAGGGTTTCTAATTTGGTTAGGGTACTTTGTTTATTATTTTTACCAATTTATCTCCATTATCTCTAATTAACCACACTTTTCCCGCCAAAATTAAAAAGATACTGCAAAGGGTAGTTTATCGTGTAATTAGTTGGGTATTTTCCGGCCCATAACCGAGGCCCATAAAGGTGGTTTTTGGGAATTTCATTCCCAAATTCGAAATCAGGCCCAAAAAACGACCCAATCACGTGCGTGAGTGCTCTCTTCCCGCTTGTTACGCGCCCGGACGTAGACTTCGCCTGGGACCCACGGTATTTTCTGTGTCTGTCTCTATCTAAGGAACAGACTGCACTGTCTCTCTCTCTCTCAGAAAGAAGGGTAAGCTTGCCATTATGAAAATATGTCCCTACCCCGACCAATTAAAACTTAAAACTACCCATTTCTCAAATTAAAACTTAAAAACGTCCTTATTTTCAAAACAACCCTAGAATGTATTGATTCACACTGGATGTACTCCTAGTTTCTACTGCAATAGAACAATGATGTAGTTGTAATATAAAGGATTCGGAATCCAGAGGACCAATGTTACTCTATGAATTTGTGAGGATTGAATTAAAGCTAAGACGAAAGATGGTTGTTTCGAAAACTAAAAAGTAAACAGAATGGCAAACAACGATTTAAATTCAAATTAAAACAAGCACTAGACCAAAGCAATTCGCAGGAATTTCAGAGATAAGAATCAGATGACTATTCAGGGCACAAGTGTAACGCAAGTCTCGAACTCAAACAGAAAAGCTTATCGATCCACTGTCGTGATCTCGATAACTTTGTCTAACAACCTAAATCCTAAACTGTCGTTTGAACCTAGAAAATTGCAGACAAGCATTAGCTAGCAGGTGTGATCTGTTCACGATTTGCCTTAACTTCAACTGTCGTTGGCTAAGGACAAATCGCTCACCAATGTTTATTCTAGCAACCTATTACACTTTTGATGAATAGATTAACCTAAAATCGCAGATTGAGTGATCAATTCAACCTAAGCATTAAGTCTAACAATGGTGAAGACAATAGATATCAAGTCCTATTTGCATCTAATCCTCTAACTCATGAAATCCTTTGAACGCTTTAATCTAGCTAAGAGATCTACTCAGACATGGAGAAAAGAAACACAGAAACAGATGGAAAGGAATTCATGAATTAAAATCGCAGAAGAGATAATAGGGTTCAGAATTCTTCTCAAAGTGTAGCAGATTTCTTCTCCCAAAGGCTTACAAGTAAAAACTCTATGGTTCAGGAAATTGTAAAAAGAAAGCGTAGAAGAAAAGATAGGCGGCTTGGACTCTTTTTTATTCCTTTCACGCGGCTTGAGATTAGGTAAAGATGTTTTCCTTATTTTTCTCCCGTCTGGAGCAGGTGCTCCACGAAGGGTCCAAACCGGGAGCAGGTGCTCCGCGGATGATTTCTCCAAAAGCGTGTGAAATAGCTCCTTATTGCTCCAATTCATCTCCTTTTGCTCCAATGCCTCCTAAACACTCCAATCCTCTGATAAGGTCTCTAAGTCACCTGAAACTTCATGAAAAGACTCCAAAAACTCCTAAAACAATTAGTAAACACAGGTTAGAATGAGTCAAAATCTCCACTCATCATGTATGCACCTTCACATTTTCTAGTTTCTACAATGCTGCAACACATAGGTAAAATGCCTCATAATCGAGATCAAGAAACTCCATTCTTTTCTGCTTCGTACCCGTTAAAAGCATTTCTTCCTTCTCTGCATTCTGAGCCTGACTAAACAGAAGAGTGTAATTGAGGAGTCAGTAGAATCCAAATTCACAAAACAAAAACAAAGCAAATCCACCAAAAGATCGGTTCGTGAGAGAAGCTCCCCCAATCAAGCGAAATTTGAAGCACGAGAATCAACAAATAAAGGGAAGTAAAGAGATATTGCACTAACCCTTTTGATCTCTGTTTCTGAAACTTGAACCATTTGAGCAGGAAGCTCTTCCTTTTCAACGTCCTAAGAGCAACAACAAAAAAAATCGTTTTAGAAGTGGAAACTTCATATAATTAGATGCAAGAGGAATCAGATTGTTTAATTTTGATTTACCAATTCACCAATCATGACAACATTCTTTTCACGGATTATGTATAGACCCAAGGGAATATCACAGTAGAGATCACCCACGATGACTTGTTAGTTTTTATCATGTGAGTGTCGTCTGTGTGCGACAGGGATAAATGGTTTTCCTTAGATTTTGGATTTCTCTCATGAATAGTTGATTTTGATTAGGTTTTGGGTTTCTCTCAATAGATAAGGTAATATTTGCGGAATAATGTTGAATGATGTCATTTTAGTTTCAAACCGAACCAGTTGGATTCTAAAGAAGTTGTTAGAACAATAGTCGCAGAAAGTGTCTTAAGCTATGATAGTTTAGAGTCTAAACATGAATAGTGGGAACAGTTGAAGTTAGGTGTTTGTGTCAGAAAATAGTGGTTGTGTCTTTTGGTTGTATAAGTCGATGAAGAGACAATGTAAGAGATACATTTTTTGAAATGAAATGAAGAAGATGAGTTTCAAGTTTATCTTCTCTCAAATATCGATTTTCAAAATGATAAGAAACAAGTCTCAAATACTCTGTTTCTGAATATATCTACATGGTATCAGAGCTCATGATAATCTATGGAGATTCCCTGAACAAGACAAAGATTGCGGATGAAGAAAGTTCGACAATGAAGAGAACAAAAGTCAGAGAAACTGGTACAAAGGTTCAAGAAACTGACAGGAACAAGATGGTGATCAAAGATGAAGAAATCAAAAACAGAAAGAAGAAGAAGAAACAGGCGTCTGAGGAACATGATGAAAAAGAGAAGAATCACATGTTCACTGCAAGACAAGAAGAAGAAGAAGAATCAAGTAAGGAGAATATTTGGCTCATAGACAGTGGATGTACAAATCACATGACCCCAAATAGGAACCTGTTTGTCAAAATAAACACAAACATCAAAGTTCCTATAAAGGTGGAAAATGGAACTGTGGTAATGGCAGAAGGAAAAGGAGATATAAAAGTAACAACCAAGAAGGGAAAAAGAATCATAAAATATGTCTTTTTAGTACCCAAACTTGGAAAGAATCTTTTAAGTGTTCCAGAGATGATCACCAATGGTTACAAAGTCACTTTCCAGGGAAACAAATGCATCATTCACGACAAATCTGGGAGAGAGATAGGAGAAGTTCAAATGGTTAACAAAAGTTTTCACATCAAATGGCATTCAAGAGAAGAAACGGCGATGGTGGCTGCAGACAAGACTGCAGAGCTGTGGCACAAAAGACTTGGGCACACGAGTTATACAAACCTGAAGATCATGCAGTCAGAAGGAATGGTCACCGGTCTACCTAAGTTCAAAATAGCTCAGGACCGATGTGAAAGCTGCCTTATCAGCAAGCACAGCAAGGATTCATTTCCAAAAGAATCTGATTCAAGAGCAACTCAGAAGTTAGAGCTGATTCACAGTGACTTGTGTAGTCCAATGCAAAACACCTCCTTTAGTGGTAGCAGGTATGTACTCACCTTCATTGATGATGCGACTAGAATGGTGTGGGTTTACTTCTTAAAGGCTAAGTCAGATGTCTTCACAACCTTTAAGAGATTCAAAAATTTGGTGGAAAATCAAGCTAACAGCAAAATCAAGAAACTCAGAACTGACTGAGGTTCAGAGCATTTGTCTGGTGAATTCACAAAGTTCCTTGAAGAAAATGGAGTTGAAATGCAACTGACTGCTGCTTATTCACCTCAGCAAAATGGAGTTTGAGAAAGAAGAAATAGAAGTCTGATAGAGATGGCTAGAGCAATGGTTAAAGCAATAGGTTGGCCCTTGAAATTTTGGGCAGAAACGGTCTATAATGCTGTTTATGTTCAAAACAGAACACCAACAAGAGCTCTTAAGAGCACAACTCCACTTAAAGCTTGGAACGGTACAAGACCAGGAGTTGGCCATATGAAAGTATTCGGATGCCTCTGCTATGTCCATATTCCAGACGAGAAAAAAAGGAAGTGAGATGATAAGTCCAAGAGGGGAATATTTGTTGGTTACAGCTCTCAAACAAAAGGGTACAGAGTGTATCTCCTGGAAGAAAACAAGATAGACATTTCTAGAGATGTCATTTTCGACGAAGATAGAAAATGGGACTGGAGCAACAAAGAAGTGGTAAAAGATCAAAGTATACCTCTTGAAACCGAAACTGAAGTGAAGATTCTAAAATTGGAGAAGCAGAACCAAACAACTACAATAAACCAGCTGATATAAGTCCTGCATCAACCAACACTGATCACAGAAGTCCAGGAGGAAGCTCAAGCCGTGTAAACAAAAGAACCAGATCACTTGCAGATATTCTGCTTACTTCTCCATACGCAGATTTGGAATACTCTGCAGTGATGGAAGGATGCTACAGCAGTCTAGAATAACCATCTCTGTTTGAATAAGCATTCAAATACAAGGAGTGGAAGGAGGCAATGAAAGAAGAGATACAAATGATCGAAAAGAATGAAACTTAGGAACTAGTCAAAAGATCATCTGGCAAAAACGTTGTGGGAGTGAAATGGATATACAGATTGAAAAATGATTCCCAAGGAAATGTGGTGAAACACAAGGCGAGGCTAGTTGCCAAAGGCTTTACTCAACAGTATGGGGTAAACTATCATGAGACCTTCGTTCCAGTTTCAAGACATGAAACTATTAGGTTGCTTCTTGCTGTGGCTGCTCAAAAGAAATGGAAGCTGTTTCAGCTAGACGTTAAATCAGCCTTCTTGAATGGAAGATTAGATGAAGAGATATATGCTGAACAGCCTCTGGGATTCGAAAGAGAAGGGAAGGAAGGACATGTTCTGCTGTTACACAAGGCTCTCTACGGCTTAAAACAAGCTCCGAGAGGTTGGTACAGTAGGATTGATGAATTTTTCAAGAGAGAAAGCTTCAGGAGAAGAGATAATGACCATGCTCTTTACACAAAAGAAGACAATGGGAAGTTACTGGTTGTTTGTATCTATGTAGATGACCTCATCGTTACAGGAGATGATGAAGATATGGTGAATGAATTCAAAACAGCAATAAAGAATGAGTTCGAGATGTCAAACTTGGGGCTACTTAACTATTTTCTAGGAATGGAAATTGTTCAAAGCTCAGAAGGTACATTCCTGTCTCAAGAATGTTATGCTAAAAAGCTGTTGAAGAATTTCAACATGGAGGAATGCAAGATCATGAGTACTCCTCTTATACCTCAGCGTAATAATCAACAAGAGGAAGATGATCTGGCTGAAAGCAGTGTCTACAGAAGCTTAGTCGGAGGGTTGATGTACTTAACAGCTACTCGACCTGACCTAATGTTCTCTGCCTCTTACTTATCCAGGTGCTTAAAAGAACCAACTGTCTCTCACTTCAAGGATGCCAAATGAGTTCTAAGGTACATTAAAGGAACAATCGATATGGGGTTAATGTACAAAGCAGTGGAAGAATATAAGTTGATTGGCTACTCGGATAGTGACTGGAGAGGATGAAAAGAGGATCTAAAGTCTACAGTAGGTTATTGTTTCAGTATTGTATCAGCTTTCTTTACTTGGCAAACCAGCAAGCAGGATACGGTTTCTCAATCAACCATAGAAGCAGAGTACATAGCTCTGTGTGCAGCATCAAACCAAGTGACTTGGTTAAGACGATTACTTGAAGATCTACGGATTCACACCCCAGTGGGAGTATCCATTTACTGCAGCCAGTCAGCAATAACCATTGGAAAGAACCCGGTTCAACATAGAAGGACTAAGCATATTCAAATCAAATATCATGTTGTGAGATATTATGAGAAAAATGGGGAGATTCAACTACATTACTGCAAAGGTGAAGAAAAACTAGCAGATATATTGACTAAAGATTTGGGAGGTCGGAGTTTTGAAAGATTTCGCATCAAGCTCGGTTTGATTGATAAAATGGCAAGTGAGAGTGTTGAATGATGCCATTTTAGTTTCAAACCGAACCAGTTGGATTCTGAATTGAACTTGTTAGAACAGTAGTCGTAGAAAGTGTCTTAAGCTATGATAATTTAAAGTCTAAACAAGATTAGTGGGAGCAGTTGAAGTTAGGTGTTTGTGTCAGAAAATAGTTGTTGTGTCTTTTGGTTGTATAAGTCGATGAAGAGACAATGTAAGAGATACACTTTTTGAAATGAAATGAAGAAGATGAGTTACAAGTTTATTTTCTCTCAAATATCGATTTTCAAAATGATAAGAAACAAGCCTCAAATACTATGTTTCTAAATATCTCTACAAATGAACAACAAATGCACTCCTTTGAAGGGAAAAGAGAGAAGAAAGAGAAATTTTTCTAACGCACTCCTTTCCGCAATAGATGCATCCTCACGAATACCTTTAGCAATTTCTTTTTCCGAAAGAAGAGCATCTCCTGAACACCAATTCAGATATACAGTCAGCTCCAGCCTTCTCGTCCTTAACAGGAAGAGTACATAACCTAATTTTACTTTCAAATAAATTATTACCTCCTGAGATTTCAGTAGGTTGGCTGTCCTTGCAGTATTCCGCTCCTGTATTTATGGTAGTAGATGTAACCACTTTAGATTTAAGATCCTGTGCACAGGTCTTGTTTCAGATGCAACTGAGCCAGTAGCGCCACTTGTCTTATTTTTTCCTTCTCATTACTTACCTTTACTATATCACTGCTGACGAGAGAAGATTCTCTGCTGTCAAAGCTCTTGGTAGTGGAATCATCTTCTTCATATGTTTTCATCCCAGATCCTTCTTTTGTGTCTGATTCTTCCATCCCAGAATTTTCTTCAGATGGTGTATCCTCACACACATCAACATGAGTGGTCTTCGTGACACTCACTTCTGAACCACAAATAACTTCTCTGTTTTTTTTTACAGTCTTCAACACCATGTGGTTCAATGCCTGATTGCGCAGCTTCTGATTTTATTGCTACATGGCCCGTTTCATCAGACGCTTCTTCCGCTGAGCTTTCATTTGGTCGCCGTTCGTAAAAGTCAATAACTCTAAAGTTCGACAAGAGATGCATGGGTCGCTGTGTGCGTCGAACCCTTCTGCAACTTTCTTCATCATCAGAAGTCCCACTATAAAATACATGGTTGATAAGCACACAAATACATAACCATAAAAACCAACTTGCAAACCATTGCTCATCTTGCACATGGCGACTAGCCTTCCATCTATTTCCAATACTCTAACCATAATAACAGTGTGATATCCTGACATTCCCCTTTCTCTTGATCGGAGACAAAGATGATTAACATGATAGCGAGAATTGGGACCAGCATAAACTCGGATCCCAGTCACTCTCAATTCTTCCCAGAGACTTGGCTCTTCAGTTTTTCCAGAGCATGTAGTGTAGGGATTCTCCTGATTCTTATTATCGGTTGTGTGATACCTCTAGCATTGATAGAAATTATTGGTGGCATATCTGTGTAAGGGAAGTTCGAATCACGTGAGTAAGTTACCGCTACAACCCCAAATTGCCGAATTAAT